TATTTTAACTCTTTCACAAATCAAGGAGGGGAATTAATGATTCATGGGGTAAAGGAATACTCAGTTTTGCAAGAGACTTCCAAACTTTTTCTTCAAATCACTGTTCCAGCGTATACCCCGCAATGATCACAAGGGATATCACTGTTCTCTACACGTGTCTTCTATGCATGGTATTGTCATATTTTTTTTTCTCTCTTTTGGATCACACCGCATGGCTTGTGGGGATCTTAGTTGCCTGACCAGGGATTGAACCTGCAATGAACGTGCTGAGTCCTAACTACTGGACCGCCAGGGAATTCCCAATTGAAAGAGTGTTGAATGAATACATGAATTAATAGTGGGGAGGAAATAGGTTGGTCATATCAGTTTTCAAAAACTCAGTTCATGTGGGGACTTAAATAGTCAATGACCTTTAGCTTTCAACAAATTAAATGTGCCTTAAAATGCTGTTAAGAAGACCAATAGAAGGGAGTAAAAAATAATGTAGCAAAAATCTTCTAAAAACTAAAATCATCTATGTATTATAGACATAGGATTAAAAAAATAGTTAAAAAAACAAAAGACAGAAAGTCCCTTGTACTGTTTTAAAAGGGATAAAATGATCTTTGCTCTGTGTAGAACCCTTCAAATAGATTAAAGAATTTAAACTCAGGAAGTTCATACATAAACTAGAAGGAAACATAAGCAAATAAATATCTAAGATGGGTGCTGAATGGCCAGGAACTGTACAGAAGTAAAGGTAAACACCTTGAAGCAGGGAATTCCCTGGCAGTCCAGGGGTTAGGACTTGACACTTTCATTGTCAATGGCCCGAGTTTAGTCCCTAGTCCACTGGGGAACTGAGATCCTATAAACTGTGTGACGCAGCCAACAACAGCAACAACGACAACACACGTACACCACACACAAACACAAAACACATGAAGGGGAGAAGACTGATGTATTTTACTAAAAATGCAAAAAATTTTGTAGCCTTAATGCTAAAGAAATAAATACAAAAGTAATAGCAAGGCAATCAACCATCTGGGGAAGATATATTGGTAGATTGGTGGTGTGGGGACATACATATCTACCTTTGATGAATTTGGTCTGAGGGCATGCAGACCAGACTAAGAATCTGATGATCTGGGACATTTGGGAGATTAGATTATAACTGTAAATAAACTGCAGTCTCCATGAGGGCAGTCTTCACTCTAACTTCTGGAGCCTGGGTAGTAGTCCATGTTCCCTGCAGTGGACAGGCAGAGCTTTGTGGGCCTCCCAATTCAGAAATTTTAGCCAAAGGAAATAAGGTAAGGAATCTACTAAATGCATGTGTTTGGTGGAGGGATGAGGGTACAGTGGGCTTGAGAAGGACAAAGTTATAAAATCCTAGCTATGAGAGTCCCAAAATTGCTACAGAGGAGGCACTTGGAAGGACTTCCCTGCTGGCTCAGATGGTAAAGAATCTGCCTGCAGTGCAGGAGACCTGGGTTTGATCATGGGATGGGGAAGAGCCCCTGGAGAAGGAAGTGGCTACCCACTCCTGTATTCTTGCCTGGAGAATCCCACGGACAGAGGAGCCTGGTGGACTACAGTCCACAGGGTCACAAAGAGTTGGACACAACTGAGCCACTTACAGGCTCTTGGAAAGAGAGGCTTCGTTCACCATAGGTATAGCACAAAAGGTTTCTCAAGGGCTTACAAAAATAGTGGAGAGGGCTTCCCTGGTGGTTCAGTGGTAAAGAATCCAGCTGCATGTAGGAGACACAGGTTCCATCCCTGATCTCAGAAGATCCCACATGCTGTGGAGCAACTAAGGCCGTGGACCACAATTGTTGAGCTTGTACTCTAGAGCCCAGGAGCCACAACTGCTGACACTAGAGAAAGTCCTCCAGCGACGAAGACCCAACGGAGCCAAATAAATAAATTATTTGAAAAAATTGGGGGATGAGTACAGCAGTGGCAGGGAAAGTAATTCTGTGAAACCAAAAGAAATTTACAAAATTGATATTAATAAAGGAATTTAATGAAATTTTGTCATTAATCAAGCTACTTAGTTAAAGCTCATCAAAAGTGTATTTAATGTGAATATATTTGACCTGTTTGGTGTGATCCAGAGTGAGGTCTCCAGAAATAAGTGCCCAGAGTAAACAGTTTTATAAAGGGCTCTTGACTGTTGGACCCAGGCATACCACTGATTGTGTATTCTTTCAAAGAACTCTTAGTGCTCTTCTGACAGAATTCTAATCTACTCTACCCTGAGGGTGTGGGATCCTTTGAACCTCATCAGGTTGACTGATTAAATTAGGGCTGGTGGGATTAGCTAAAGACTAGTGAAAGGCTATAGATTCACCACTTTGGAGGCAGAGATACTAGGACAATTTGTCATTTTCTTTCATTAGATGTGACTATTCCCTCATTCATTCACACAGAGTTTTTTGGGTTTTTTTTTTTTTTTTCCCAAGCAGCCCTTAAGTGGACCCAAGAGTAAGAAAATTTTAGCGGGTTACCAAAGAAGATAAAAGTAAGAGAAATGTGTTACATGTGAAAAGCACTGATGATTATGTGGTTGAATTAAATTGTATTTGTATCTCTCCGACTGTCCTTAATTTGTCAAAATCTTAAAACCGTGCTATTACTATAGATCACATAAAAAATGTATTAGTTATTCAACGCATTGAGTGCCTACTATGCCCAAGCAGTGTTCTGAGGTGGAGATACAGCATAAGCAAAAGAGACAAAAGTCCCCTTTTCTCAGTACAGACGATTTAAAAGTAGACATAAACTCTGTGAGTAATGATGAGTGCTTGGAAGAAAATTTAAATGTATAGGAATGGAGAGTGATGACGGTCCTATTTAGATAAGGTGGCCTCCGGAGACTTTTCCAATAGGATGACATTATGAATTGTATGGGTGTAATGGTAACTTCCCCAAGCACCTAGGGGAAAAAATGCTAATTTACTGAGGGGGTGCTTAATACAGTTAATGCAATTAGCGAAGGAATTTCGGACCCCGCTACCAAAAAGACGTTCCTCTGATTCTGCGAATTCAGAAAGTGCAAGCTCCTAGCTTCAGTTTTCTCATCTATAAATTGGAAAGAGTGGTAGTGCTGACCACCTCGGGTTTTTTGTTGACGTTGTTAAAGTAACATTTATTGAGCCACATTGAACCATGTGCCTGGCACGGTCCTCAACAATGAAAACGTATTCATTTAATCCATGACAATCTTGTAAGCCAAGTACGATTTTTTTTTTTTTTAAAGAGCATTTTATAACCGAGGAACCGGGAGGCATAGAGGAGTAAAATCTAGGGTCCCACTGGTAGGGTTTCAAAGCAGGCAACTGCTCAGAACCTGGAAGTGTTGTAAAGCGCTTAGCCCCGTGCTTAGCACGTAGTAAGAGCTCCTTAAATCTTCATAGTAGGGGCTGTTATCTGTTCTAGCCCGGGGCTGCTCCAGAATTTCTCCTTAGGAAGAGCTTTAGATAGACACTCTGTTGTAATGGGAAGCTGGGGAGGGGGGGGTCTTGCATGGCAACCATAGTTAACTGCATAGCAACCATAACGTTTACTTAAATTGGGGCGCTCGGGAGAATCGATGGGGGTTGTGTGGAAGGAAGAGTCAGCTAGGTGCCCCTCCCACACGCCACTTTTCAGTGGGAACTAGCCAGGAACCAGCGGAAACTTGGGCCCCCCTCCGGAACCGCGCTGTGAGCCAGTCCTCTTTGCGGCCTGCCACCCCGCCCTTTGAGGCAGATGGTTTCTTCCGTTCACCCGGCTGGTTCAGGTTCCGCGCTCGGGAGTCACAAAGCGCAGGGTCACGTGGGCGGGCCGGTGCGCTTTGTGACGCCCAGGCCTCGCCCCTTGGCCCGCCTATCGGCGCACGCCAGCCCCGCCCCGCGCGCGCCGCCCGTGCAATCCCTGCTTAAGAGACCCCGGAGTGGGGCGCTCGCCCGAAGCCAGGCCGCGTCCGCCATAGTGCCTGGTTCCGAGGTGTCGCCAGCGCCTGGTGAGGGCCCGAGAGCGGCAGAGGGGCGAAACAAAACAGGGAGCCGGCGGAGCCCTCGCCGTTGCCCGGCGGTTTCCGGGCCTAATCTCGCGGTACTGGGCCGAGAGGCGACGGAAGCGAAAGGCGAGAGAAGCTCGGAGCACTCGGCGAGAGGAAGCGTCAGGGAGCCTTCGGCGGCGTCGCGAGGGTCCGCCGAAGCCCCCCGGCTGCTGGCTGGGGCCCGGGGTGGTGAGGAAGTGCTGCGAGGCCTAGCCGAGGCCTAGTACCGGCTTTGTGTCTGAGCGGCGTTGGCGTTGGCGGCGGCGGCGGCGGGGGGGAGGCGGAGCCGGGGGCGGCCTGCGGGAAGGCCTCTCCTCCGCCGACCGCGCGTTTCGGCCTAGGCCGCGGGGCCGCCCGTGGCCCTGCGGGGAGCAGGCGAAAGGGGTCTGTTGCGTGGCGGGGGCCTGGGCCTGGGGCAGCCGACGCCGGTCGTCCGGAAGCCAGGAGGAGGCGAGAGGCCGCTCGTGGACTCCGGGCCTAGGCCCTCTCCCCTCTGCCTTCTCCCGGGGCCTGGGTCACCCCCATCCACGGAGAAAGAGACCATCCGGGAGGTGCGGCCGCGCTATGGACCCCTGACCCCGCGGGGTCACTCGGACTCTTAACGTGTGGACTGACCGCTACTGACTGCACCGCTGCCCCCGTCTCCTGCCGGCCCTTAGCATGAGCGAGGGGGACCCAGCCGGGTGACAATTGTGCCGGTTGGCGGATTCTCGCTTGCCCCCTTGCCCCGTCCTCGTCCGCCTCCTCCCACATGAAGCGATTCTGAATATCCGGGGGGGGGGGCGGGTTCTGAATTATTGTTTTTACGAACCCCTGCTTGTGGTTGGGGGCTTATTTAATCTGAGGCCTTTTAGGGTCCTTCGGTGTCTCTGAGTGTTTTGTGTGTGTACATATTTTGCTCTTAAGTTTATAAATATACATATATTGAGCGTGTGCACGTCTCCTCGCTGAACCTTAGGAATCCTTTGGCACCATGTCCTGTGTGCATTATAAATTTTCTTCTAAACTCAACTATGATACCGTCACCTTTGATGGGCTCCACATCTCCCTCTGCGACTTAAAGAAGCAGATTATGGGGAGAGAGAAGCTGAAAGCTGCCGACTGCGACCTGCAGATCACCAACGCACAGACGAAAGAAGGTAAGAGCCGCCCGGGCTCCGGATCCTGGCTGGTGGAAGAGAGATGCTGGTGGCGAGGTGCCTGGCTGGAGACTAACCGCCATTATGTCTCTTGTGGGACTGTTCGTTTTAACACTTTGGGGACGAATTTCATTGATAGCCAGAGGTTGCAGCAGTCAGCCCCCGAGTTTAATTGACTTTGATTTGTTTTCTGTATACTTGGATCATCTGCAACCGGCCGATCCCCAACTGTCTGATTCCTCCCAGATGATTTTTTTAAACGAGGGTTTTGGTGTTAGGGGTGGGGATGTCATCCAGATTGTCTGAGTGCTTACCCTGGGGCATTTCCTAATCTGTTTTCCATCAGGAGGAGGAGAGGAGAGCAGAAGGAAGGCTTCTTTGTAAAGCATCGCTGGAGAACCATCTCTAACTTTCTAACTTAATCACCGTAGGGGTTTTGATGGCAAATTCTGTGTCCTCCTCGTCTCCCTTCCCCGATTTATTTAGTTAGTTTTAAGTTTGGAGTTGCCTGTCTTTGGAGAAAGATCCTCCCTTTGCTGTTTTTAATCTAGCCAGTTTTTAAAGTTGGAATTGCTTTTGGAACTTGGTATGTTCTGGTGTGACCACTTTTGTTTGGTGTGTAAGTTCCAGAATTAAGTAGTTGAACTCTTAGTTCATCACATTACTCGTAAATTTTATCAGTTTCAGAAAGATCAAAAGTACAGATTTTTAAAAATAGTGGTTGCTTGATTTTATATGATTATATTGCTACTAGGATACTGAAAAATAGTCTGCTGTGCTATCATATGAATATACATAAGCCACTAATTGGAATCTTTAAATTTTTCTCTTTTATAAAAGCTTTTTATATGATACTGAGAATTTAACATCGATATGAGAATGAGACAGAATGGCCTCTTAGAGTTTCTATTTTCAGACTCTGGCTTTGAACTTAACTTCGGTTTCTTTTTCTCAGGACTGCAACGCTGATGTGTTGTTTTGTGTCTTGAGTTTTTTTTTTTTTTTTTATAAGATGAGAAGTAAAGTGAAGTTCTAGTTAGGGTAGTTTATTGATCACTAAATTTGGCTTAGTGGGACATGGATTCTTTAAGTTGAAATTGGGGGAGGTTCCCCCACTTGTCAAGTACAAGAGCTGTTTTTTTACATTTACATCCAGACATAAATAAATTGTATTAAGGAACAGCACTCAAAAATAGTAAGAAAGAACTTGTATACTTACTTGATAACATGTGCAGGAATATTCTCTGCTTCCCCCCTTTCCAGTTTTTCAGTGTATCAGACCTAAGAGATGCTTCATGCGAGGCTTTGGTAATTGTGATTGTGAGGAAAAAATTGCTGGTGATCATGAATAGTTGAGAAACAGCTTTTAAAAATATTATTCAAGAAAATACCTTTAAGGAAATATTTCTTAAGGCCACAAGAGCCTTCCTTAAGCATTACAGCCACACTTAACAGATGGATTTATAATAATTTTAGGACACCTGGATATGTTAATGATAATGAATGAGAGAAAATAAACTATTAAGTGAAATTAGAGAATATTAAGGCAGTTTTAATCATATTTAGATTTCATATTTTGCTAAGTATAACACAGTTTACTCCTTTAAGACTAGACTCCATCAATCTTTTTCATCGTAATAACTGATTACAGCTTTATTAGACTGGAATAAATTATTGTTGATGGAATTCTTGTCCATGAACTTAAGAGTTTGTGATGTGTTATATTTTTTCTAAGCTAGGAAATTATTTAATACCTTATTTTTACAAATGCTGAAAGCAGGAAAATGCTTTGCCCAGCCCCGTGTTTTTTGTATATTTGTGAACTGTCATTATTGGAGAAAGCTTTGCTGTAGTAAGCTTTGCTATTGGATTGGTTAAGAGAAGAGAAAGTTTGCATCTTATGCTGTCCTCAAATTAGGAGAGAAAAAGATATTTAGGCACTTAATGAATTTTATGGCAAGTAGTATCAGTGTCACAAGGCAGCTGAGGGAGAATGCCACTTGCTTTTAGCACCATCCAGTGAATTAAAGAGGACAGAATGAATGTTTATAGCTTCATAGTTAGGAGATCGCCTAGGAAAGAATGCCGAACTGGATCACTTTAGTTTGTTTGAATTAATGTTTCTATCATGTTTCTATAAAAGATTCCAGACAGTTTTGGAAGTCTGTCCATGTTTAGGACTCTTAAATCTTAGACTGAAATGCTTGAATCAGAATTTCATGTTTCAGGTTAAGAATTCTGCTTCTTTATTTCTAGACTACATTTCAAAATGAATCTCAAATTTCTTTTTGTGTTTTTCCTACATAAACTTGTTTTTCTAATTTTTCTGCTTATTTGCAATTACCCCTCCCTCCCCCAGCAAAAAAAAGCACATACACACAACAAAATAGCCTTTATTCTGAACTTAGGGTAAAAAAGATTTGGAAGCTGAGGAAAAAGAATTTTCAAAAGACTATTTCTCCATTTCTTAAATTCGTCTTGTTTTTTCATTTCATCCGTATTCTTCATGTTTTTAGATCAAAAATGGCAGTGTCAAATAGAGAGGATCTTTTGAAGCTAACAAGTTATTTACTGAGGTATTTTAAAGGTAGGAAATTATCAGCGTGATTCAGATACTTTAAAAGGTCAATTAGAGAGCATGTGGCATCAGAGCCAGACTAAGCTTGACAACACTGTGTTGATGGGGTGAATAAAGTTGTCTTGGAAAGCTCCTGAGCACATTTGCTATTCGTTCCTACCGTGAACTCTTTTTGACAGTTACATAGTCAGCAACTTAATTACCTGGTGTTTGACATCAAGTTTTAGAGTTTTTTTTTTAAAGATCCCTCATCTCCCATGCTTCTGGGTTTTTCTTTCTTAGAGCTTGCTTGGAACTTGGAACTATCCTGAACTATGCAAAAGATAATGATGGTAGTCTTACGTTAGAAAATTGCATCACTCTAATTGGATACTTATGAAGATAAAGCTTACTACTTGAAATATGTAAACTGAAAAGAACCCTTTCCTGAACAATTTATGTGTGTGTGCATTCAGTCATGTCCAACTCTTTATGGCCCTATAAACTGTAGCCCTCCACCCCTTTGTGGAATTTTCTAGGCAAGAATACCAGGTAGGTTGCCATTTCGTCCTCCAGGGGGTCGCCCCAATCCAGGTATCGAACTTGAGTCTCTTAGCACTGTGCCACCTGGGAAACCCAATTTATGATTATGCTATGAGAAAGGATAGAGCCAGTACATCTATAAAAGCTTAAAATGCTTATATATTTGATAAACTTAAAATAATTAGAGGTTGATAAGCTTAATAATTAGAGCACTTGGTGCTGAGTAACTTAAGTGAGTCAGGTAAACTCAGTAATTTAAAAGGAGTGAACCCTAATACTTGATTGTGTGATTAAGGGAGATGGGTACATTTTTACATATATTCCCTTGTAGTGGATTATTTTTCTTTTTGGTAATTTTGCAAATTCCTTTCATAACAGATTTTTTTTTAAACCATCGTTGAATTCATCGATTCATTTTTTTGTTTGAATTTCATTCTTAGAGAACAACTGCAAGTAATAGTCCCAAGAGTAGGATAATCTTCCTGTCTGTCTTCTCAGAAAGTAGCATCCCTTTTCGTCCAGTTGCTTAAGCCAGGAACCTAGGAATTCATGTCTGATTTCTCTTTCTCCTCCATCTCTGATTGCACCCACATCTGTCGGAAAGCCTTACAACGTTCTCGATTTCTGTGTCACTTCCAGAGCAGATCGTTATTCTCTCTTACCTGAACTATGCAGCAATCTCCTTAGTCACCGTTTCTGTTCTTGTTCCTATACAGATTCATTCTTCACTTAGATACCCCCCCCCGAGTTTTTGTTTTTAATATGAATCAAATTGTCGTCATTCTTATTTAAAATCTTTCAATGATTCCCTGTTGTGCTTAGAAACAAAATGTGCGTGGCCTGTGCCTGTGTTTCCAGTCACTGTGGTTTCCCTCCGCTCTGCTGGCCTTCTTGGGTCGTTTTTCCCCATGCTTCTCTCCTCTGAAGCATGCTTTGCCAGCGTTTTTGCACATCTTGTCTTCTCAGGCTTCTGTGAGTCTCAGATGCCAGTTCCTCAGAGGGGCTTTCCTTGAATCAACATTCTCTCCAAAGTTGCATCCCACTTTGAATTCTTTATTACAAAGCCCTTTTTTCTTTGAATACAAAGGATTCAAAATGTGTCACACTTTTTAGTCTGTCTTCCCCAGTAGTAATGTTTCGAGCCCAGGAAAAGTGAAAATGAAGTCGCTGAGTCGCTTCCGACGCTTTGTGACCCAATGGACTGTATAGCCTACCAGGCTCCTTCGTCCATGGGATTTTCTAGGCAAGAACACTGGAGTGGGTTGCCATTTCCTTCTCCAGGAGATCTTCCCAACCCAGGTCTCCCGCACTGTAGGCTTTTCTGAACCGCCAGGAGAGAGAAAATATTTTCATTCTAAATAACAACTTTTTCCTCATATAGTTCAGATGTTCAGCATTACTGGCTAAACAGCGAACAACTTAGTCTTCCTGAGACTTGGGGTTCCACCTCCATCTCTTGATAGAGGTGCCAGAGCCAAGAACCTGTTGACATACTTGGTGTTAACTCCTTATGGCTTTGGATATTTGTTCTGACAATATCCAAATCTCAATGCAAGGAACATATGGTTATTAATGCTCCTTTATGTTTAAGATGATTTCCCATAAAATTTATGTCTGGTTGAAGTTTTCTAATTGTTGAGGACTATGACTTAAAAATCTCGAAATAGAAATTCAACTCTTTATCCTTTTATTTACAGAATATACTGACGATAATGCTCTAATTCCTAAAAATTCATCTGTAATTGTTAGAAGAATTCCTATTGGAGGTGTTAAATCTACAAGCAAGACATATGTTATGTAAGTATTTATTAAATCCCATGTTTGCAAGTTCTCAAAATACTTTTTACTTTGTGAGAAGGAACAGGTATGCTTTAGAACTGAACTCACTACTTTATGCTAGTATGTCTTCTTCATCCTTAAAATTATGAGAATGTTTGTTTTCCTCATTTCTTTCCCCAGTTAAACTGTAGTCAGAAGTAAGAGCTAGTACTTTTTGCTCTATGTAGGTAATATTAACAAAAAGAAAATGATCCTCAAATAAGTAAATCTTTCCCCTTCGTTGGTTTTTATTACCTGGACACTTTCCCCCTCTACCATTTTTTCACTACAAGAATGTAAGTATCTTGAGATCTGTCCTAAATATTTTGTCAGCATCAGGAGTATTCAGTAGTGGTAGTATTTGCTTCTCATTAATAAGGGACTTTGTTGGGAAGTGATAATGTTCATAGGATTCATGAGCACAGACACTGGAATCAGGCTTAGATTTGACTCCCATTTACTGCTTCACACCAGTTGTATGAAGTTGTATTTGGGTAAATTACCTAAAGTCTGTACCTCAGATTCCTCAAAATAAAATATATGTAACTCCAGGGAATTGGAGGAATTCAGTAGTGCCTGGCACATGGCAAATGCCCTTTATTGGAGTAAGAATTATAGTGATAATACTTTAGGAATGGTCTAGAGCTTAAGGAGTTCACTAAAAGGGCAAGATTATAACTTTATATCTAACTTTCTCTGCTTTCTTGCAATTTTAATGCTGATAACAGTTATTGGGTTGGCCAAAAAGTTTCTTCAGGTTTTTCCATACGATGGAATGGAAAAACTGAAACGAACTTTTTGGCCAACTCAGTATAATCTGTGAAAAGGATAGCAACTTGGGCTATTTAAAGAATACTCAGAGGTAAGATAGACTTACTTGAAATTCTGGCAAATTCTGCTTTTGGTCAATGAAATTCTGGCAAATTCTGCTTTTGGTCAATGAAACATTCTGGAATTTGCCAGTCCTAGGAAATGGAATGTGTTCTTGGAATTGAGGAAAATAAAGTCATTTCCTGGAGCTTTGCTTCATGTGGGCATGTTTTCTTTCTAAGACTGTTCTCATTTAGTTTAGTGTAAAGCTCTATTCCATGTTTTAACATTTGGAGGTTCTTAAATCTTCTGTATAGTAACTTTAAAAGCTGAAAACTTTTTTTTTTCCTTCTGTAAATACCAAGTGAGCTATGTACCTTTAACTTTATATAATTTTGAGACATTATAAAGGAAGAATTAATTCCTAGTGTGAAGTTATCCCTTAATTTACTAAGTACTTTGTAAAAATAGCAAACATTCAGTTTCAGGAGATTGTTTTGATATTCAGAAATTTTAGGGAGAGAATTGTTTAAAGTACATGGGAAAATAGTTGCTTCTTACAGAATTGCATGCGTAATTCACTGTGTATTTGATTTCCTTTATAATATACTTGCCTCTTGAAGTGTTTTTGAATTTGCTGAGCAAATACTAGTAAATGAAAATTTCATTTTTATCTCAGGGCGTACCAGTCATGTACAAACTAGAAATTCCTTTCATATGCTATCTAATGTTTTTCTGTCAGGATAGCATAAACTTAAAACTAAAACTGAGCCTTTGAAGCCTGTATTTTAGCAATTTGACCCTCATACCCTTTCCTGTGTGGACTTTTAAAGGAATTTCTGCTTGAGCTTACTTGTGTATATATTTTTAAAGATCAGTTCCATTCTCTATAACCAACTTATTAAACTTATTCTTTTAACGAAAATATGGTGTCAAACGGTTGATTTTTCTGGAAAATAGACTTCCTATTTTATCTTGGTCACTGTGTTGAGACTTTTAAAAAGATGAAACTGCCAACCTGTCTTTTGGATTTGAAATATAGTTTTTGGAGCACAACAATTTCTCAGGGCTCCAAATTATAGGATATTTACAGTAGTAGTCTTACTGTAAGGTAATTCAGGGTATGAAAATTCTCATCTGTACCTATTAAAAAAGTGAGGATTAATAGACTTGTTCAGTCTATTAAGAAATAGCCTCAAAGTTTCTTAAATAACAAAATCCTCATACTACCTTTCAGAAAACATTTGTTGTAGGTAGAAAGATACACACCTTTAATTACCAAGTATGGATTTTTTTTTTTAAATCAAAAATGCATCTTAAAACTGTTCAAAGGTAGTAAAAATTAAATAAAGTAGTATATTTATTACTTCTGAAATTGGTTGTTTTTAAATGTTTGTGCCAAGGAAAAGTTGTGTTCCTAAAAAATGTGTGGTTGGAGAGATGTTTTTAGCACAAAAATTCATTAATAGCTTCTTAGAGAGTTAATGCTGTTTTTCTTTTTGTCTTTTTAGAAGTCGAACTGAACCAGTGATGGGAACTTCAAAAGCAGTATGTAAAAACACAATCTCACACTTTTTCTACACGTTGCTTTTTCCTTTATAATGTAGCAGTGAAGTAAATCATTTTAGAACGTAATATCCAATTGATCATAGAACATATTGTAAATAAAATGTATTTTGATGACAGCTCAGTTGAATATGGATATATGTGGCATAATTTGCACACTTTATTTTGTAGAAATGGGTAATTTGTGCCCAAAAAACACTGTTTCGTATTAAATATGATAGCATTCTCCCTGTATGACACTGTGTTGTACAGTTAATGTATGATCCTTTTTAGATCATGTAGGTTTTACACTAATGAACATGGTAACATGTTCTGCATCTGTCTGTCTATAGTTAGTATTTTGTATGTATGTACAGGCTGTTGTGTGCTTTTTGTTTCCTGCAATAAAAAAAAATGTTTGGAATGTATATTTTGCCATTTTCACGTGTATCACTTAGTTTTTTTTGGTTTTTGGGTTTTTTTTTTCTTTTTTTTCTGCCTGATTGATGGCTTTGAAAATGCATTAGCAACATCCAAAGCTTATATTTAAAGTTTGATGCTTTCTCCAAGTTCAGACACGTCATAGAGCTTTCCAGAGACCATTGACGCAGCTTTTATTATTTAGTTTTGCTTTATTTGGCAGTTTTGAGCTCCTATTCTTTGTTTACATTTGTACTGTAAAGTGAAACCTGGAATTGGGCCCCCTACAAGTATATCAATGTCTCGTCGATGATTTTATACAATTGAGTACTCAAGTTTTAATAGAGGTCTTTTACTTCTAGTCTGCTCAGTTGTCCAAATTAAAATATTTCCCTCATCTCATAAGATATTAAAATGCTGCAATAATTGTAAGCTAACTTAAAGCTGTAGCTTATCAAAGGTAACTCCCCTTAACCAGGTTAACATCTTAATAACCTTAAGTATGACAACATTTTGACTTTGAGCTTTTAAGTAAAAGGTAGCAGCATTCCTAAGTTGTAGGGTGAAACACCTGGTTCAGAACAGAGACCTGTAGTAATTGAGTTCTGTAAAACTTGATGGTTCTCTAAACATTTGAGTGCTCAGGCTTGATTTGTACACAATACAAGATGTCTGAAATCCTCACTTAGAGTTTAAGGGTATTGCTTGCTCTTTCAACTTTATCCTTTTAAAATACTAGTGATCTTTTAATTGTGTATCAGGTATTTTCACTAACCTTGGATCATTGAATCTTAAACACTATAACATAGAATATCTGAACTTTGGACTTGTTTTCTAAAGTATATAGCCTTTAGTTCTCATGGAACTAAATATAGTGATTCAAAAGTCAAAACTTAGTGTTCGGGGAGTTTTTTTCCCTCTTTGGGGTATATGGTTTTTTGGGGGTTTGGGGTATTTTTTTTTTTTAAGCATAATGCTGTAAAAACTGTCCACAAGTTTCTGTTTTGCTGGTGATTGGTTTAAAACTGATTTTTATGTATCCAAATGCTAGCACAAATTAGATTGACTATACTGGTGACTGTAGTAGTTAATGTAACACATTTTGTATAAAGTACATTTTATACAGTATTTAAACTAATTCAGATGAAGTTTTATTTCTTGAAAATAATTATTTCCTTTTTGTTTATTAGCATGTGTATAAACACAGATCACATGTTCATAAATAAAGTTAACATTCTTTTAGCCTTGTGTGTTCCCTGGCATGTCTGTATTACACTTATAAGAAGCAGTTTATTTTATGCTTATTTAGGTTTCTCTTTTCTTTCTTCTTTTTAAAAAAAAATAAAAGTGGCTTTAATTTTTAGGTAGAATTATTTGAAGTGGAGAAATTAGATAACATAATATCCCCATTATTTGCTTGGGGTACATTTGCTGACATTTAAAATATGAGAAAATATATTCATAAAGCATAATTAGTGCCCATCTTAGGAGACTTAGGTATGTTATGCACATTCACAATTAAGACAAAATCACTAAAGCCAGGTTTTTAAATTCTGATTAGTAAAAGTAAATGTATGCACATTTTTGGTAACTTAAGCCAACTCTAATCAAGGATGGCTGTTTCTATATTCCACAGCTTTGCTGTTTGTAGTTACCCTTCTGTGTTGCTATTCCAAAGCTGTGGGTCCTTCCTGCTAACATCAGAATTACATGTTGTAAGATCCTTTAATTTCAGGCAAGTATAGTTGACATAAAAGATTTCAGATTCTTGCTCCCAGAAGCAAGGCCACAAATTAGATGTGAGAGAGGTAGGTTAATTTTAATCATGTCCACAGTGTGCATGTTAATCAGTGTTTCTAGAGACTACTTTTTTAAAGTAGGGTTTTTTAATTGATGTTTAATACATACAAATTCCTACTCATTTTTAAGTCATTTCTTGTCAGCATTTTACACTTATTTCTTAATATCTTGCTATATGTAGAAAACAATTGGATGCCTTTCTAAATTTGTGGTAAATTTTACCACCTTGTATTTATATAGGGTATTAAAGTGCTATAGGGGCTTCCCTGATAGCTCAATTGGTAAAGAATCCACAGATTATTTGGTGGGAAAAAAGTGATTTAGATGCTGTTGAATATCTAAAACCACTCATAACTAAATAAATATATGCTCATAATAACAAGTTGACCCAAAGGAAGAATAGGAAAGCCTGGCATAATAACAAAAAGACAGCTATGTTTTAGGAGTGAGAACAACAACAAAAAATGTTAGTTTTTTTGGTTTCAGCAGTAAAAAAAGTGTAATACAATTGCTGCTTTCTAAGGAAGTGATCAGCATGCATATTCTATATAGTAATAGGCTATTTTAAAAGGCTATTAATTTGTTTCTTTGATTAGAAACACAGTATAGATGATGGTTGACAGCAGTTTGTTCAGTCCTTATTTCTTAAAATTCAGGTGATTCTTGGTTGATATAAAATGTTACACTCTTCAAAATAGATTGAATAGGTCAGAATTTTTCTGGATAAAAATAGGCTGTGTTCTTTCAATTTTTCTTTTCTAAATTTACCTCTTGAGATATTCATTCTTTAAGGAAAGAACACTTCAACCCACTGATAGATTATATGGCTAGGAATGTATATGGGGCTAGTGCATTATGGACTCTACAGTCCCTCAGTGTGGAGCTGAGAACCTTTTGTTTAGATAAACATCCCAGCAATAATATCCATCAAACTAGCTTTTAAAACTCTTAAGATGTGTATAAGATGTATTTTAAATTTAGCCGGCATTAGTTTTATTTCCGTTTATTGCATTCCTGCTGTGGTGGCATTAAGCTAAGAACTACATATTGAAATTGGTTACATTTCTATTTGGGGCTCCAAGTCATGCTGCTTTTTTTTTTTTTTTTCCAAATACTCTCAGTTCTCTTGAATCCTTGAAAAATGCATGAAGACTCACTTTTTTTTTTCTTTGATCCAGACATCTTGTTACATTCTCTCCATTTTAAAGAAGAGTTCTAACCAGTAATGCATGAGAAATTTGTGACATTAAATAAGCAACCCACTTACTACATAGGAAGCTGATAATGTTTTTATTTTGGTACACTTGTAGGGAAATCATGTCTTTAGAATTACATGCTGAAGATTGTGTGTATACATATACACACTCATGCATAAACACTTTTTAAAAACTGATATTAATATATTTCAGGGGAACAAATAATGAAGCACTTTTAAATACATTTGAACATACATTTTTTAAAGCCCTCTTATATCCATGTTTAATACTTGCTCCCTTTGATTAAAGTAACTATTTTCCCTGCATATTGAAGTCCATCCTATAACTGCTCTGTTTGCCCTGCCCCGGGATGCCTTTTATTTCTCTTTATTCGGCTTAAAATTTTTGCCCTGTTAAAGCTGTGGTTCCTTTGGCAAGATTAGCTGTTGATACTTTGTATGCGAGAATCAACTTATTCAGACTGAGCAGTACATACTCAAAAGAGGGGAAAAGTAGCGATTATTTGGGAGCTGTTTTATTAAAGCAGTTATCTGAGCCTTTAAAGAGCTGCTTGTTTTTACACGGTTGTATACTGGCATTATAGGAAAGTTAGAAGGATTTCTTATTCTCTCTTCTAGTTAGTGTATGTTGTCTTGAGCATCATTAGTTTTAGAGACCACTGACAGGCCTGGGACTCTACTTCGTATTTAATCACCACACTGAGCAGCTTTCCTATCCTTTTCTTTACTGTTTTCTCATTGTAATAGAGTCCCCTTCAACCATTACCCTTTATATACTGTATGTGAGATGTGTGAAGAAGGATAAGTGGGGTGAGCTACATTTCAGCTTAAAACAAGATAACATTCTTTCGAAAACTTCTAATAAAAATACCCAATATTTGAACATTAAGTGGCAGTAGGGAGTAAATGATCACTTTCAGATGTTTTCAGTGTGGAACTTGAATGTGTGTTTAATTTTTTGTGAACAGATTGATGACTCTTCTGCGTCTATTTCTCTGGCCCAGCTTACAAAGGTATATATATATTCTTGAAAATATAAATCTTTTTCTAACATCGTAATTCTTTTTAATGTGGAGCAGTTGTTTTAAGAGGGGTTGGGGGAGGAAATACTTTGCAGAAACATTTGTACATATTATTACTATCCTGTAAAGAGTAGCTGCTGTTTTGAGAAGATAGGGGGAGTATTTTGCTTCACCATAATGTTGGAGTATTCATCTTCAAGACAGAAGAAACAAATGAAGCTACACTTACTTGCTTTTTTTCCTCATACATTTTGTTTAATTATACAGTGGAAACTAACAGATTTCTGGAGGAATTCCCTGATTTTGGCTGTAAATTATGTGGACTTTATGCAGCCAAAATAGAAGCTTTCCTTTACATGGACAATTGCGTGGTTATTTCTTGAATATTTGAATTGATCCCTTGAAAGTTAACGTTATAAATGTGATACGGTTGTTTTTCTATGCTATAGACTTGTAGTCTGTCTGCATTAGAAAAAGTTTTAAACAACCTAATTTGTTTGAACACAGACTACATGAATTGTGTAAATGTATAAAGTTGTTTGCAGGAATATACCAATGTGTATGTTTGGCAGAGGGGCAAATTGTTACCTCCTGAAATCATTGTATATGCCATGTTTTGCGATAAGATTGCTTGCAGTTTTCTGCTCAACAGTGTGTACCTTTTGTTTGGGAAAGCACTAGTGATGGATTAATTTTTAAAACAATAGACTTAGTTTGCAAATTATGCCTTTAGGGGAAAAAAGGCAAATAATACAGAACAGGTAGAGTTTTGAGGGCCAAGAAGGAAGTTTTCCAAAAATCCTTTTTTCCCCTGCTATCAGAAATACAAAGTTAAATTTAGCAACCAAAGTGAATGAGTAGACGAGTTTTCCATTAGTGCTGTCCCTATCTTGTCCTTGGCTTTGTTGTAGGTTTTGTCCTTATCCCCTAGAATGTATCCCCAAAATGTCCTAGTAACAAATACAGCTTTTTAAACTCCTGTTGTGGGAAAAGTATACATTAAAGTTGATAATTCTAAAACCATCCTCAATAATTTTTTAATGCAAAGTGGTTTAGCATAGAGTTAACATCTTTAGCAACTTATAGTTCACTGTTTAAAGTCTTCTGTACTGTAAGGACCATATTTGAGTTCTGGTCTATTCCTCCATTGTTTCTTTGTGGGAAGCAGTTGGGGAGTTTTGGAGCTTTGGGTGACTTTTTTTTTTAAACTATTTGTAAGTTAATGTTTGGGTTCAAACAAATTAGTTGTTCAACATCTGTAATCCAGTTTTTTGTAAATGTTGCTGTTGTTCTAAGCTCTGTTAATGTTAAGCATTCTTTGTATATAAAATTACAATAAAATGTTAAAACTGGTTGCTTGTTTTGTGGATGAATGTAAAGCTAAAACCTAATGAATGGCTGATAATGAGTGCTAGATGCTTGAAGATTCAAGTTTTTAGGACTCACTCCCTTAGACCCTGCTTATTATCTAGACTACCGTATGTAATACCTCAAAGATGAAGTTCATAAATCTCTGGAGAGTTGGATTTATAATTTGAATGCTCAGTGCATGTGCTTTGCACTTAATTTGAAATTTGGCACCACTACTTAGAGTCTTCTGATTTCTCATATCTGCTGCATAATATGTTCAGTGTCCTATCCCCAGCCCTACCTCTAAGTCATGTGCTTGACACTTGATGCTTAATGCTGTGACACTTGAATTATTTTACTATTTAAAAACATCAAGTGTTTCTCTAACTTAATCTCAGTTTTTAACTTAGAAGAGTAGTATGTAAATCTTAATGTAAGGTACAAACAGGGTCTAAGGTTTGAGTGCCCCCAGAAGGACTTTCTTCAACCCCGTAGACACCCAAACATCATGTAATGACCTAAGGAACTCCCCATGCCTCTTCTAGGTTATACTTTAATAACTGTTTTTATGCAAGATTAGATATTGCTCTTTACAGGATGAGTGGTGTTGTCTTTGGCTGTGTGGTCTTAAATGTGTTTCTAATGTGTGTGTCAAATAATTACCTGTTAAACAGACTGCCAATCTGGCTGAAGCCAATGCTTCTGAAGAAGATAAAATTAAAGCAATGATGTCGCAATCTGGCCATGAATACGACCCAATCAAGTAAGTTTATAAGTACTTTATTCCAATACGTACTTTGGGGTGGCACTTAACAGCCCCCCATGTCAAAAGCTTTTTTGTTTTTTTAAGTCTTTGTGTACATGTAAATTTTTTTTCCCCTTTCAGTTACATGAAGAAACCTCTGGGTCCACCACCTCCGTCTTATACTTGTTTCCGTTGTGGTAAACCTGGCCATTATATTAAGAATTGCCCAACAAATGGGGTAAGTTCAAGCTAAAATTTTTCCTTAGCCATATTATTTTTCTTGGTAAATACTGACTTCTGTGTTACAGTGGCAAATGAGCACAGCTTTTGGAGCCAAACTACTGGTGTCAAATCTTGACACTGCCACTGAGTGAGCAAGTTACGTGATTTCTCCAAGCCTGTTGTTTCTTCTCTGTGACATGAAGATAGTGATAGTCCTTACCTCACATGGCTGTTGTGAGAATTAAATGAAATCACATATGTAAAGCTCTACAAATAATACAAGCAGATAGTAAACACTGTGTGTTAGCTAATATTAAATAATGGTAACTGCTTTTTCTCTTCCTCCTCTCTCCTTTGCCCTACCTGTAGGATAAGAACTTTGAATCTGGTCCTAGGATTAAAAAGAGCACTGGAATTCCCAGAAGTTTTATGATGGAAGTGAAAGATCCTAACATGAAAGGTGCAATGCTTACCAACACTGGAAAATATGCCATACCAACTATAGATGCGTAAGTATTCAAATTAGGTATGATCTGTGGAGATTACAGTCAGTCCAGGCGATAGTGTTTTATTTAATCTTGGGCTTGTAACTTGGCTACTTGGATTCCTCATAAACATTGTATACCAAGTCTTAGTCTGTATGTTGCATTTCTGTGTTAAGAATGAGAGGCTGCAGTCTGCTCCATTTAAAGCAAATTAAAACTGTATTTGGGGTTTTTGTTACCAGTGAGTGCCACTTTCCTTGTGGTCTTCTAATTTTTCTTTTTTCTGTCATTCCCTGCTTTCTTCCTCATTCACATACATACTCCTACATAATCTTGTATGCTGTTTGTATCTTTTAAATGAACAAGATAAGTGTCTTAGACTTTTTAAGAAACAAGAGGCTTAAGAATAAAAGTTCTACAAGCTATCAAGGCAGATTTAAGTGTGAAGATTAAAGGAAATACTCAAGTATCTTGACTAGTTTGGATATACTTTGTGAGTCTTAAGATTCTAAAATATGGTTTATTTAATAAACTGTTAGTTCAGATCTGTTATATAACAGTTCAGAACTGTTTATCTGTTATAAACTGTTAGTAGCTCTGTAAGCCATACCTTAATGCTTATTTTTCACATGTTTTCAGGTTTTATTTTAGGAGTCAATTTTTAATGAAATGAATCGACAGTAAACCTAGTGGCGTAGTTCAGCTAGGTAACTTCTCATTTTATCTGCTTTTTTTTTTAATACATTTATACCTTTTGATTACCCTCAACAGTTGCAAACTCACACCATATAAAACACAATACTAAGTGTTTCTTTGGACTATGGCTCTGTGACTTTACTGTACATAAGAAGCTCTTGGAAAAGTGTGTTAAACAGTCTAGGTGCCCTGTCCCACTCCTCTCCCCTGCCCCCGAGGGGTTATGTTCTCAGTCTGCATCTTTAACAAGTCCTCCAGGAGAATACGAGGTTAGAGGATGCTCAAGGCATGCCTTGAGAAACATCAGTTTAAAGAATAGATACCCATGTTCCCAGTGACAGAATGTTTATTAAGAACAGTTTTTGTCAGCTTTGTGCTGTATTATCAAAATGTGATGAGCAGGTAAGGACAATGAAAATGCTATGCTTACAGAATGATGCTGAAAAAAGATTGTTTTTGAGTAGGTAAATACATTGTTTTAGTTAACAGATAAGAATTAATATTTTTCTAAAACTCCCAACCCTGCTCACTTTCTCAACTTCACTCCCATCTATTTTTTCAGTCTACCATTGTGTGTTTTTGTGATTCATTTTAGAGCAGTTTGTTGTATGCTGTTTCTAATTCAGACGTTTTATACATGCATCCAAACAGTTTTAGGTTGAAATTGATGGCTTTTTACAGACGAAGTTTTAAGAGCAGACCGCTTCATCTTAATACAATAAGATGTAAATGTAAAAGTATTTAAATAGAAATTTGTTGGAAAAATTAACATCACCTGTAAGCTCATAACTAATAATTAACTTCATTGGTATTTGAATACTGGAATACAAAAGTGCATTTGTGCCAAACACACAGCAAATACTGGGGAAAATGGGAACCCAAATATTTTAAATGAAACTTTCACCCTCTCCACTAACACCACTGATAAGCAACTCAGACTCTTCTTCTGTTTCTTTTTCTATCCTCTGTTCTCCTCTTTTTTTTTTTTTTTTTTTTTCTTTTCTCTCTTTTGGGCAGTGGGAGACTCCTCTTTCACAAATTGGGAACAATGGGGCATAAGCAAATTGATACTTATTTCTGGAATCGTGGTGATGTCTATGGAGCAACTGCAACACAAATAACACACCTAAGGTACCCTGCTCTGTCCAGATGAGATTCTTTCATTTTTTAGCATTGAGTTGAACACACTGTTCCTGAATGAAAGAGAAAAGATTTCTCTAGGAATTCCTATGTTTTACAAATGTGCCTGATTACAGAGAAGATGGGGGTATTGGAAGAGGCGGTGATAAGTCTGAGAAGGGCTTATTTTTTTGTTTACACATTTTTCTTAATCAAGTCATTAATATTTCTTGTGTTCAGTCATGTCCAACTCTATGCGACCCCATCGACTGTAGCCCACCAGACTCCTCTGTCCGTGGAATTTTCTAGACAGGAATGTTGGAGTGGGTTGCCATTTCCTACTCCCAACTGTCTATAAATAGATTAATCTCTCATAATATTAAGTATAAGACTACTGTTTTGAAGTCTAATTCTGTTTATTAATTATTGATGTGATTAGTGACATATTTCCTTTGAATTATCCACCTTAATTGTGTAATGTCAGTACCAATTTTAGTTTCCCGTATTGTGACATTCACACTAGTATTTTCACAGGTTTGGAGGCTGTTAGACTCGGGAGGAAAAAAAAACTTTTTACAGGAAACATGGTAGGCTAGAGAACAGTGATTAGGGTGTTGTCATCACTTAAGCTCAAATCCTGTCTCTGCCATTTAAATATAACTTTGTGGTACTTGATTGTGTCACTGTGCCACTCTGACTCACAGTTCTTAGAAATACAGAATCTAAGATCCTTTTAGCCAATTTTATAGCTTTTTTTTTTTTCTGTTTGTTATACTCTCTTAGGATTTTGTTTTATATCTTTTTGTTTAGGGGAGGATGTTCGTAACTGCTCCCTTATTTTGGAAAGTACTACACTTGTATAAACTAATTTGGCATCATACTAGGTTATATAAGTTCCTACTATTGTATAGTAGAATATATAAATATCTTGGAAATACTTTCCCATAACAGTGTTAAAAACACTTAAGACCTTCTTTTACAGAGAAGCATATGCAATTGGGAAGAAAGAAAAACCACCTTTTTTACCAGAGGAACCATCATCATCTTCAGAAGAAGATGATCCTATCCCAGATGAGTTGTTGTGTCTCATCTGCAAAGATATTATGACTGATGCTGTTGTCATTCCCTGCTGTGGAAACAGTTACTGTGATGAATGTAAGAAATGTTGAAACTTTGAAGATATGTATTTTAGAGTGTATTTCCTTGGAAAGGCTCTTAGCAACAATATATATTTTAATAACAAAATATGAATTATTGATACATCAGTGAACATTTAATAACTTTTTGTTGCTTCTTTTTAAAAACAAAGTCTGTCCTTTAGAATTGACCACTTTTCTTTACCTTCATCAAGGTGTCTTTACTGAGGTTTTGTAAACTGTAGGATTTTTGTTTCAAATATGTTTTAAATGGTATAGAGAAATTTAAAAGTTTTGGGGGCCTTAGATATTTCCAAACTATTTTTAAAAAATAAATCCCTTTCTAGGAATGTGAAAAATAGCTTACTCTAAAATTCCTAAGGGTGATTGAGAACTACGGTCTGTAAACATATTACCCAAACACTTGCGAGGGGGTGGCTTGTGACTTTTTTTCCCTAGTCATTTATATTATATTAGCACTTGATTCTCTTCTGCCACTTACCTTAAGTTTTTCCCTTCTTACCCAGATGAAAATGGTGTCATTAAAAATTTCATTGCTCAGTCCTGCTTTGGTCCTTTTCATTTCTTAAAGTTTGTTTTGGGGGACTTCCTTTGTGGTCCAGTGGTTAAGACTCCATGTGTTTCCGCTAGAGCAGGGGTGTTCAGTCCCTTGCCAGGGAACTAAGATCCACTAAGATCCTGTATGCCACGTGGCGCAGCCAGAAGAAAAACAAGAAAAGAGAGTTTTGGAATACAAATCTTTGTTATGGAGCCTCTTCAGTGAAGACAAAAGTCAAGAAGAAGTTACTTAAGGCTTGTTTTCAGAGTGTGTCTTAAATTTTACAAACCACTTATATAACTGGATTTTTTTTACTACACTGAAGCATAATCATTGCATCTGTAATTTGGTATTTCTTCTTACCTGCTGTGCTATAGATGTTCCTGATTTCCTTGCCCAAATAATGCTTCTGCTATATATAATGCCCTTTCTTAGTGATGCCTTTTTAAATTTTGTTTGTTTATGCCACATAGCTTATAAGATCTAAACTCCCTGACTAGGTATTTAAGCCTGGCCCTTAGCAGTGCAGAGTCCTAACCACTGGACTACTGGGGTATTCCCAAGTGATTGCTTTTTTTGAAGCCCTGTATTTACAACATAATGTCTATTTCTAGGCTATATTTCTATTTTTTTCCTATAATACTCTAGATGTTAGCTAACCAAAGAGAATGGTATTTGAGAAAGAGTGTCCTTTCTCTCAATTTAAATGCTTGTTTAGCTTATATCCATTACTTCTGTGTTTAAGGTAGAGATTAGAGCAGAGGAGTGATACCAGGAGAGAAATTTTACTTTTAAATTTCTTAATCTAAGAATAAAAGTGATTAGTAATGTGTGCTTGGAAAATAGTAGTGTAACTGAACACATATAAACCATCTTCTCAATTCATTGCCAAAAACTGGGTTCCTAACTGTGCTTTTGTTAATATTTAAAATCTTATACATAGGTATAAGGACAGCGCTCTTGGAATCAGATGAACATACATGTCCAACATGTCATCAGAATGACGTCTCTCCTGATGCTTTAATTGCCAATAAGTTCTTACGACAGGTAGCTATATTTATATCCCCTTTAATGAAAAATTTTAAAAAATCTTTTGATTCAACTGTACTTGAGTAAATATTATATTCTGCATTTTTATGTTTGGTGTTTATAGGCTGTTAATAACTTCAAAAATGAAACTGGTTATACGAAAAGACTAAGAAAACAGTTACCCCCACCCCCTCCCCCAATACCACCTCCAAGACCACTCATTCAGCGGAACCTACAACCTCTGATGAGATCTCCAATATCAAGACAACAAGATCCTCTGATGATTCCAGTGACATCTTCATCAACTCACCCAGCTCCATCTATGTCTTCATTAACCTCTAATCAGTCTTCTTTGGCCCCTCCTGTCCCTGGAAATCCATCTTCTGCCTCAGCCCCCGTACCTGATATAACTGCAACAGTCTCCATATCAGTCCACTCAGAAAAATCAGATGGACCTTTTCGGTAAGTCTATGTATCTCTTACTGTTAGGAAACAGATGAGACCAGTGACATTTTTTTATTGTATATTGCTTGAATTGTTGTTTTAGTGACTGGCAGTCTGTAGCATCCTACTGTACTCAGTGAGGTGGGTGACTTGTAAGAAATGACTTAGTCTTTTGGAATTCCCTGGCAGTCCAGTGATTAGGACTTGGCTGTTGCATTGCTGGAGCCAGGGTTCAGTCCCTTTTGGGGATCTGAGATCCTGCAAGCCACACAACATGGCCAAATGAAAAAAAAAAAAAAGAAATGACTTAGTCTTACTGGAGGAATAGAGAAATGAAGGGAGATTCATTTGTAAATGATTAAATATCCCAAAGTTAAAAACTATACAGATTGCCAGCAGCCCCTCTTAAATGTTGAATAGTATCCCATAACAGCTTTTGCAGTTCACAGGAGGGAGAGTTCACTTATGGTCATAATGATGGTATTAAAAAACAGTAGATTTGAGTAGAACTAAGAACAGAGGAGAGGGGATGAAACACTGGTAAGAAAGATCAGAAATAATTTTTTTGGAGCGTAATTATATAGGAGAGTAGTAAAACCTCACTTAAATCCTACCGCTTCTGAAATGAAAGGGACCTATGACTATATAGTCCAGTGGCTCTATAAGTCCAAGTCTTAAAAAAATGAACCAGCTTTTAAAAATTAAGATGCCAGGGGTGTGTTCCCAGAAGCAAAATTTTTAGGAGTAGGACCTTTACAAGTATACTTAAGAGATCCCTGCAAACTGCTGTGTATATAGGATGGATGAACAACAAGGTCCTACTGTATAGCACAGGAAACTGTATTCGGTATCATGTGACAAATCATCATGAAAAAAGAGTAAAATCCCACTGATCTAGTTCAACCTTTTATTTGATTAATAGTGGGAATGGTCTACTATTCATTGACTCACCTTAGAGTACCTTTTTGATTTACTAGAGCTGGAAGTAGAATTCCAGAAAAAAATCCTTTTTTTCTCTTTTTGGTTTTGCAACTTTTTTTTTTTTTAAGCTTTAGTAGTCTTAAAATTGCACCAATTTCTATGATTTCATAGACTGTACTTTTTAAGGAGCTTCCTTCATCATACATTTCACTTACATATGAAGAACTCTTCAAAAGTCCAGTTTGGCTCATTTTCCCCAGAAGTTTTCATCATCATTGATTTAACTCATCTTAATGCAAGTGTGATAGAGAACAGTGTTAGGAACAATAGGATGTAATTTTTTTTCTTTTAATAATTTTTATTAGTTATATGCAAAGGGAAACCTTATAATCCTATCATTACAGATAATGCATTCCTGAAGTAAGAATATTTGTGTACTGCAGACATTTTCTGCAGATCTATTATTATTCAAACTCTGCAAGTGTTTGATGTCTCTTAAATATGACTCAGTCTTTGTAGTAATGGAATTTTTCTTCAAAAATATGGAAAATGTTCTCATTGAAGTTTAAGGCATACAGCATGCTGATTTGACTTACATATATTATGAAATAATTACTACAGTAGGATCAGCTAACACCCATCTTCTCACCTAAATACAATAAGAAGGGGAAAATAAGAGTTCTCATCTCCTTGTGATGAGAACTGTTAGGATCTAATCTCTCTTAATAGCTTTCCAGTATACCATACAGCTGTGTTACCTACAGTCATCATGTTGTACATTACATCCTGAGTACTTACTTATATAACCGGAAGTTTGTACCTTTAATTCTCCATTTCTAATGACCTTTAAATGTTGTTGTAAACTATTTTATTTTCTAGGGATTCTGATAATAAAATACTGCCAGCTGCAGCACTTGCATCGGAACATTCAAAGGGAGCTTCTTCAATTGCAATTACTGCTCTTATGGAAGAGAAGGTAAGTTTCATTGGCTTTTAAATTTGGAGACCTTTTTATATTATTACAGTAGAGCTTTTTGTTTTGTTTTTTAACTGTTTGTGTTTTTTCCTAAAGGGTTACCAGGTGCCTGTACTTGGAACCCCCTCTTTGCTCGGACAGTCATTATTGCATGGACAGTTGATCCCTACAACTGGTGAGTATAAAATCATCTTGGTTTGAACTTTTTCCCTTAAAAAATAATTCTAGCTTGATTTAACATGTAATTTTATATTTAGTTGTTGTTCCTATTTTTCTGTCCAAGGTCCAGTAAGAATAAATGCTGCTCGTCCAGGTGGTGGTCGACCAGGTTGGGAACAGTAAGTATATGTTTCACATAATCGTCAGATGATTGCTTTCAAACCAGAGGATAGAAATTATAGTCTAAGTAGTATGTTGCTGAGTGTCTTTTTTTTTTTTTTCTGAGTGTCTTTTATTATAAACTCTTTTATATGCCATAGTTTACAGTTTTTATGTAAAATGTAACAAACTCAAGACTATATGAAGAACTGTTTTCTAAAAGACTGTTTTCTAAAATAAATATAAACTCATATAAATTTAAAGCCTATCACAAAATTTCCCATTTTGAGTAGCTCAGTTAATTAAATTCTATTGCATATTAAAATCTATAAGGTTTGAGAGACATGCTTTGTGAACGGTTCCTGTAATAAGTCCTTCCTCCTCTCAGAAGAAAAAGCAAAAAATTCTATAGGGTATAATTTTTTATGGCATTAAAAATCAGATTTATTTATTTTTTATATAATATTTCTGTTTATATAGGTCATAAATTTATATAAACTGGCTTATATTCTAAAACTTTGATCTTTTTGTTTGAAAGATAAACCAGACTCATTATAAAAAAAAGTATGTTAAGAATATATCAGTAGAAAAGGCTTCCCTGCTGGCTCAGATAGTGAAGAATTTGCCTGCAGTGTGGGAGACCCAGGTTCAATCCCTGAATTGGGACGATTCCCCTGGAGAAGGGAATGACTACCCACTCCAGTATTCTTGCCTGAAGAAATTACATAGAAGATCCTGGTGGGCTACAGTCCATGAAGTCACAGGGTCAGCCATGACTAAGTGACTAACACACACACATACAAATGTATCAGTAGAAAGAATACGGGATTTGAAGACAGATCTGGGTTTGAATCCCAGCTCCTCCACTTACTAGCTGTATGACAGTGGGTGTGTGATTATACTTCTCAGCCTCCATTGCTTCATCTGTAGAATTGGAAATGTCCTACTTACCTCACATGTCAGACACCTCCACGTAGTTCCCAGCAGATAAAAGGACCCTTTTCCTTTTCTGTAACAATTAAGTTCAAGGCTTCCCTGGTGGCTTCATTGGTGAAGAACCCACCTGCCAACAACACAGGGTTTTGATGCCTGGTCCAGGGACATCCCACATGCCTAGGACCAGCCAAGCCCATACACCCCAACTGTTGAGCCTGTGCTCTCTCGAGCCCAGGGTCTGCAACTACTGAAGCGAGGGGGCCCTAGAGTCCATGCTGTGCAACAGGAGAAGCCGGTCCAGTGAAAAGCCTGCACACCGCAGCAGAGAGCAGCCCCTGCTCACCGCAGGTAGAGAAGAGCCCGAGCAGCAGTCCAGCACAGCCAGGAAATAAATACATGGCTTTCTTTAAGTACATGGGGCCTTTAAAGAAAAACGCACAGAAAGTTATAGAACGCTAATTAAAATGCGTTACATGAAGTTTATATTGAGGCTTCATTGTTTATAATATGTTAGTCAAAAAATATTCAAGTACATGTGATGCTTGCTCATACCTGTCTGTCTGGAACAAGCAAGAATCAGGGTCAGGGAGTAAGGAAAAGTTTCCAGAATAGTTAAAAAATAGGTATCTTAAAGTCTGTGCACAAAAAGACCATGTATTAATTATACTCAAGCCTGTTTTATCTTTCCACACAGCTCCAACAAACTTGGATACTTGGTTTCTCCACCACAGCAAATTAGAAGAGGAGAGAGGAGTTGCTACAGGTAGGCTTGCTAAAAATCTTGAATAACAGTAATCTGATGACACAGTGAAAAATATAACAAAACTTAAAGCGTAGCAGTGGCAAGGGGAGTGAGTTCATTTGCTTTGCAGGTACCTCACTTAAATCCAGTTATGCTTGAGACGCCTGTGAAAGAATAGGTTACATTTAGTATTTTAACTGCTGGTTTTTTAAGGCTACATCTTTGCTACTCCTTCTTAAGGGTTACTTTCTCCTTGTCAGCACATAACAGAATATTGGCTTATCTCCGTTGAGTGTAGAGGGAAGTCAGTGAAGCCTCTGCAATGTGTAAGTTGTTGTCATTGACTTAAAGTGAATGTTAACCAGTTCAACTCCTAAGTGTGAAGAATTGCACGTTTTTCTCCCCTAGACTCAGTTGTCCCAGTCTTCTGCCATCTTTTCTTCCAAAAGAAGAGACAGGAGATTGTTAGGGACCCTTGCTCTGGAGATACACAAGCAGTGTCAATCTCAGAAGTAACCCGTATAAGTTTTACTCTCTAGGTCATTCTTAAGGTCATCTTCTAGTACACCAAAGAGAATTGCTAAGCTTATGAAAGATAACTGCTGTTTTGTTGCTAAATCACATATTTAATAGGATATTTACTAAATCAGACTCTCTGAAAAGAGGCTTAAAATCTAGACCCCTACTGCTGCTGTTGTATACCAGTTACCTGTAATTTAAAGATTCTTTTAAAAAGCTTAACAGAAATAAGCCCACTTTTTCTTTTAAGCCACTATTTCTTTGATGAGGCAGAATTTTAGACTTATTTTAACTGAGTCAGAAAAAAACAGATTTTCAGTTACTGATTACAAATGTTAAACTAATATTTGTTCTAGTTTGAAGGGTCTTTACATATTTACTCAAAAAGATTATAGGAAGTGGTTTTTCTTCATTTAAACTTGATCTTGGAAGGCATTTTGGGGAGAACCAGATCACAGAGACTTTAACCTATCAGCTCCTTTTAATGATGGATTAGGAAGTAACGAGATGGTTGTGAAGTGATAATTGGAACTTCACAAGAGAACTTTTAAATATAGTGTCTCCATATAAAGAAGGCCTTGTAAACTTACATCCTGTTATTCCCTTACTGGCCTGAAAAGTTGTTTTTAACATATGAATGATGTTACCTTTACATACAATATATATCAGTATCCTGATGCTTATTTAAATAGTTTTGGGGCAGAAAAGATAAGCTTACTTGTCTCAGATGCTTTAATATCTTGGAATTATTTTTCCAGAAGTATAAACCGAGGACGACATCACAGCGAAAGATCGCAGAGGACTCAAGGCCCGTCACTGCCAGCAACCCCCGTTTTTGTACCTGTCCCACCCCCGCCCTTGTATCCTCCTCCCCCCCACACACTTCCTCTCGCTCCAGGTGTTCCTCCTCCGCAGTTCTCTCCTCAGTTTCCTCCTGGCCAGCCACCACCTGCTGGGTATAGTGTTCCCCCTCCAGGATTTCCTCCAGCTCCAGCCAATTTATCAGCACCTTGGGTGTCATCTGGAGTACAGACTGCTCATTCTAATACCATCCCAACAACACAAGCACCACCTTTGTCCAGGGAAGAATTCTATAGAGAGCAACGACGGCTAAAAGAAGAGTAAGTGTTCTAATTTGAAATTACTCTACACTTTCATTTTCTGATGTAACATTAAACAGGTATCTTTGGAAGCATTTTCCACTGTTTCCAGTTAGTGTAAGAAAAATCACCTAAAAATTAAACCAAGTCATACGAGCAACTTCCTCAGGGATTCCTAGTTATTTATAGTTTTAAAGTGGAAAACTAATGGCAATTTCATTCATTTCATTCATAATCTAATTACATTTGTCTTGTTAGTTTTCTTAAATGGTTTTTGTTAACTTTCACTCTTTAACTTTATTTTACTAGGGAAAAGAAAAAGTCCAAGCTAGATGAGTTTACAAATGATTTTGCTAAGGAATTGATGGAATACAAAAAGATTCAAAAGGAGCGTAGGCGCTCATTTTCCAGGTTAGTGTTTTGCAAGCCTTCACAACAGAATTGCAAATGGGACTTTGAATATCCAGGGATTAGCTATGGATATAAATAACATCACAGTTATGGAATTTTTCTGATTCGGTCTAGGTTTATAGAAATGGAAATGTAACTTATTTCCCAGTATCTGTTTATTGAAATAGTATCTCACTGTAAATTCTATTGTGTAGAACTAGCAGTTATGGGGATTAAATTACCCTTGTCCCTTGAAGTTACTTATAGTATGAAAAAATTGGGAAATGTTTATAGAAGGAAAGAAATAGGGGAATAGCCAAAGAATACATTTCTGAGGACCCTCTTACTTAAGGCTACAGCTTTCTGCTGGAACATTAACCTGTGTAATTATGAAATAACATTAGACTACAAATTGCTTTATTGATAGAAAAACTAAATTATAAAAATTCCCTAGAAGCTTGTTTCTAGACTTCTTTTTTAAGCTTGTGCTCGAAATATGGTTCCTTTTAAAGATAGACTGTTGGCCAATAAAGGACAAAAAGAAAAAAAATCACTGCTACTTAAAATAATCAGATAGGAAGTAAAAATTTAATTGGCATTTTCTTTAGTGTTGATTAGCTCATATAATTCACGGTACATTAATGCACGTCACTCTAATTATTAAGACTTCACTTTTGTTTTGCAACAAGTGATTGCTCTGATCTTTGTGTACTTTATTCCATTCCAATAGAGGTCACTGTGCCTCTTTAATCATCTAAGATGAAACTTGATATAAAGAAATATGGAACCATGAGGAGAACATACTTGAATGCAAGCGTCTGTATTTTATTTAGCATATATTTCTCAACTATCAATTATTTTGTTTTTTGTTTTTGTTTTAGGTCCAAGTCTCCCTATAGTGGTTCATCCTATTCAAGAAGTTCGTACACTTATTCTAAATCAAGATCTGGTTCAACGCGGTCACGTTCTTATTCTCGATCATTTAGCCGCTCACATTCTCGTTCTTATTCACGATCGCCTCCATACCCCAGAAGAGGCAGAGGAAAGAGTCGAAATTACCGTTCACGGTCTAGATCACACGGGTATCATCGATCTAGGTCAAGGTCACCTCCATATAGACGGTATCATTCACGATCAAGATCTCCTCAAGCATTTAGGGGACAGTCTCCTAATAAACGTAATGTACCTCAAGGAGAAACAGAGCGTGAATATTTTAACAGATTCAGAGAAGTTCCACCACCTTATGACATGAAAGCTTATTACGGGAGGAGTGTTGACTTTAGAGACCCATTTGAGAAAGAACGTTATCGGGAATGGGAGAGAAAATATCGAGAGTGGTATGAAAAATATTACAAAGGCTATGCTACTGGAGCACAGCCTAGACCATCAGCAAATAGAGAGAACTTTTCTCCAGAGAGATTTTTACCGCTTAACCTTAGGAATTCTCCCTTCACAAGAGGCCGCAGAGAGGATTACTCTGGTGGACAGAGTCATAGAAGTCGAAATGTAGGTGGCAACTATCCAGAAAAGCTTTCATCGAGAGACAGTCACAATCAGAAGGATAATACAAAGTCAAAAGACAAGGAAGGTGAAAATGCTCCAGGAGATGGTAAAGGAAATAAACATAAGAAACACAGAAAAAGAAGAAAGGGGGAAGAAAGCGAAGGCTTTCTAAACCCAGAGTTACTAGACACTTCTAGGAAATCAAGAGAGCCTACAAGTGGTGAAGAAAATAAAACAGACTCATTGTTTGTTCTCCCAAGTAGAGATGATGCTACACCTGTTAGAGATGAACCAATGGATGCTGAATCTATTACTTTTAAATCAGTGTCTGAAAAAGACAAGAGAGAAAAGGATAAACCTAAAGCAAAAGGTGACAAGACCAAACGGAAAAATGATGGATCTACTGTATCCAAAAAAGAAACTGTTGTAAAACCTGCTAAAGGACCCCAAGAAAAACTAGATGGAGAGCGTGAAAAATCTCCTCGATCTGAACCTCCACTTAAAAAAGCCAAAGAGGAGACCCCGAAGACTGACAATGTGAAATCATCATCTTCCTCTCAAAAAGATGAAAAGACGGTTGGTACTCCCAGAAAAGCTCACTCAAAGTCAGTAAAGGAACACCAGGAGACAAAACCAGTCAAAGAAGAAAAAGTGAAGAAGGACTACTCCAAAGACATCAAGTCAGAGAAGATAACTAGTAAGGAAGAAAAGACCAGGAAGCCTAATGAGAAAAGTAAGCCACTTGATAGCAAAGGAGAAAAAAGGAAGAGAAAAACTGAAGAAAAAAGTGTAGATAAAGATTTTGAGTCATCTTCAATGAAAGTCTCTAAATTAGAAGTGACTGAAATAGTGAAACCATCACCCAAGCGCAAAATGGAGCTTGATATTGAAAAGATGGATAGGACACCTGAAAAAGACAAAACTTCATCATCAGCTGCTCCAGCCAAAAAAATTAAGCTTAACAGAGAAACTGGTAAAAAAATTGGAAGTACAGAAAATGTATCTAACACAAAAGAACCCTCTGAAAAATTGGAATCAACATCCAGCAAAGTGAAACAAGAAAAAATCAAAGGAAAGGTCAGGCGAAAAGTAACTGGAACGGAAGGATCCAGCTCAACACTTGTGGATTATACCAGGTATCTGATAATTGGGGGGCGGGGGTGGGGGGATTGCATTGTGGATTATACCAGGTATCTGATAATGGCGGGGGTAAGAAAAGGAGAATATGTTCCTTAAGAATGTATTGATGTTGGGGGTTAGCTGGTTACTCTTGTCTTTGAAGATAACAATTGTTAAAAGATAACAAATGTTAAGTAGATTTTGGCAGTGAGCCACGCTTATTTTTATGTAATCATACACACGTATCTTAGAGCAGAGTAAGTGGGGTTTTGAAACTTGAAAGGGCATTTACCATATTTAAGTCTTTTTATACTCATCAGTGTTTAACAGTTATGAGTTCTTCACTGAATAAAAAATATTTTAATTCTTTTTAGTACCAGTTCAACTGGAGGCAGTCCTGTGCGGAAATCTGAAGAAAAAACAGATACAAAGCGAACTGTCATTAAAACAATGGAAGAATATAATAATGATAACACAGCTCCTGCTGAAGATGTTATTATTATGATCCAGGTTCCCCAATCCAAATGGGATAAAGATGACTTTGAATCTGAAGAAGAAGATATTAAATCCACCTCACAGCCTGTATCGAGTGTGGGAAAACCTGCCAGTGTTATAAAAAATGTTAGCACTAAACCACCAAATGCAGTCAAGTATGCTGAAAAAGAAAGTGAGTCATCAGAGAAAATTCAGAAACTCACCAAGGAGGTGAGCCATGAAATTGCACAGCATGAGGTTAAAAGTTCAAAAAACTCTGCATCTAGTGAAAAAGGGAAAACCAAAGATCGAGATCACTCAGTATTGGAAAAGGAAAACCCAGATAAAAGGAAGAACAACAGCACTCAGCCAGAGAAAGATGGTAATCTGGACCGTCTGAATGAGCAAGGAAATTTTAAAAGTCTGTCTCAGTCTTCCAAAGAGACTAGAACTTCTGGAAAAGAAGATAAGCATGATTCCATTCGAGCTTCCTCAAATAAAGACTTCACTCCCAACAGAGACAAAAAAACAGATTATGACAACAGAGAGTATTCAAGTTCCAAACGTAGAGATGAAAGGAATGAATTAACAAGAAGAAAAGACTCTCCTTCTCGGAGTAAAGACTCTGCATCTGGACAAAAAGCTAAGCCAAGGGAGGAGAGAGATTTGCCTAAAAAAGGAACAGGAGAGTCCAAAAAAAGTAATTCCAGTCCCACGAGAGACAAAAAACCTCATGACCATAAAGCCACTTATGATACTAAACGCTTAAGTGAAGAGACAAAATCTGTAGATAAAAATTCTTGTAAAGATCGTGAGAAACATATGTTAGAGGCAAAGAACAATAAAGAGTCAAGTGGCAATAAATCACTTTATATACTTAACCCACCTGACCCACAGATTGAGAAAGAGCAAGTTACTGGGCAAATTGATAAGAACGCCATCAAACCTAAGCCCCAGTTAAGTCACTCCTCTCGACTGTCCTCTGACTTAACTAGAGAAACTGATGAAGCTGCTTTTGAACCAGACTATAATGAAAGTGACAGTGAAAGCAATGTGTCTATAAAAGAGGAAGAAACTGCAGGAAAGGTTTCTAAGGAACTGAAAGATAAAGTAGTAGAGAAAGCAAAGGAGAGCCTGGACACGGCAGCAGTCAGCCAGGCAGGCGTCACCAGGAGCCAGAGTCAGAGCAGCCCGAGTGTCAGTCCGAGCAGAAGTCACAGCCCTTCTGGAAGCCAAACCCGGAGCCACAGCAGCAGTGCCAGCTCTGCAGAAAGTCAGGACAGCAAGAAGAAGAAGAAAAAGAAGGAAAAGAAAAAGCACAAGAAACATAAAAAACATAAGAAGCATAAGAAGCATGCAGGCACTGAAGCAGAATTGGAAAAAAGCCAAAAACACAAACATAAGAAAAAGAAGTCAAAGAAGAGCAAAGATAAAGAAAAGGAGAAGGAGAAGGATGACCAAAAAGTGAAATCTGTCACTGTGTAGAAGGGCAGATTTTAAAACATTGACTTAATTCCTAAGTCATCTGTATTAAATTTTGTTATAATGTAAAGAGATTCAAGCCTGTAAATAATGATACAGAAGACCCTGTGCTGCACTTAAAATATTGCTGCTTGATTATTTGATTTTTACATCAGAGCTTTATAACACGGACTTTTGTACAGAATTGTGAGTTGTGACCATGTAACATGAGAGGTTTTGCTAGGGCCTATTATTTTTAACCACCATTAATTAGTTGGGGTGGAGTTTATTGTACTGTGAAATTTTCACATTTGAATTTTTTTAATTGCCTGGCAAAAGCTGGTATCAGTTCTAAAATATCAGCAGAATGATTTGCTGAACTCATTACAACCCTGTTATGTCACTTTTTGATTACAATAAAAGTTTTCAGTAAACTTTTCAAATGTTGAATGTTTGCCTTATTTGAAGGAAAGTGTGTCATGACCTTTCACTTCCCCCTTCCATTTCCCTATTTAAAGTATCCTTTGAGTCTTTAGTATAAACTGAACGGTATGTATAAATTCTGAAGTACTGTACTTCATTTGTGGGCTGATAATAGGTGGCCAGAAATAAGGAATCGTGGTTAATTTGATTTCTGGTTGAATAAATCTAGAAGGGTCGTAAATAAAGTTCTCAATCACACTTAGCATACGTGGCCTGCCCAGTCTGTGTCCAGCAGCAAGCAGTAATAGGTCCAGAAGCGCTAGGTAGAGACAATGGGTTTCCTTAGTGGCTCTGGTTCAGGAAGCTTATTGTAGGCAATAAAAAGCTATTGAAAGGATGTGGGAGCTAGGGTAAGAATGGAACTTTAGAAACAGCTGTGTAAATAGATTAAGAAGACAGTGGCTAAAAGGAGGGAAAGAGACTAGTTCTAGTGTGAGGTAAAGATCCTGAAATACTTTGGTCCAGGGCACCGGACTGGCGGTGAGAGAGGAACGGGGTTACATTAGCAGCAACTCGGTTCATTTCCTTGATATTGTTTCAGCAGTGTGCCGTGTTTACAGTCCTGTGTGCCGTTGCTGGTGCTGAAGCCGTGTTGTTTTAGGTGGTACACAGACATACATGAGAATGTTTTCTAATGCAACATTTAATATGTAAGGGAAAACATTAAAGGATTTAAAGAATGTAAAGGTAATAAAAATGCTGTTCACATCAGGAAAGCCATTCAGGACTGAGTTAAGTTTGGGAAATGTTGCCTTTAAATGAAACCAACTTGACTTTTAAAGAGCTCTTCTTTTGCTGTTCTTAAGTCTTTTTTAAAATTTCCAGACATCTCCATCACGGGGGAGTTCCACCCACTGCTAGCCTCACCCCTTTCCAATCTCACAACATGTTCCACTTGTGCTTTCAGATATTCCAGCAAGACCACACTCAGTTCTTAATAATCTCGGCCCCACATCGAGGCTATATCTCCCACATTCACTGAGGATTTTGGCATCTAGAACTCACTTTTATCATACGTTTTATCATGTGAGGTTAGTTTCATTACCTGGGTGCATTGTTAAGAATTCACTTTGAGCTCAACTGGCCTTCACTTTAATTGTAGTCCACTCCTATGACAATTTACTTGAGTTAATCACCACCTGTCACCATTCCCATCTTAAAATTGCAACTTGAGTGTGTCATCTGCAACCCACTTTTTCAGCTCCTTTCCCTGTTGGCCTTATTTAGACCGGAGGTTTCAACTCATCCCATAGTCACTCTTACTGTCTTCTATAGCTGCCTGTATCACATCATTTCAGCCACATGCTAACACTCCCAAAACCTGCTCACCCTTAACCATCTTGCTTATCTAAATGGCTCAGTCCCCAAAACTAGATACAGGTGCTGATAGCTGCTGCTTAACAATTAAAAGGCTTGAGAGAGAATTGAAATAACTGCCAGGCACTGTGCTAGGTGCAGTCCTTACTTGACCCTTGAGAATTCTAATGGCTCATGTTTAGTGTGTGTTTGAGCAGGAAACTCCACTACCTGTGAGGTTCAGCCCAACCTGGAATACTTAGCTAGTGCCTAACTAGTCCACCTAAATAACCCCTGCCATTTGGAGTTGGACATGTGAAATCCACCTATCTTTGCTGGTTTCCAAAAAGGTCATGTTCTATCTACTCAATTGACTTTGCTCTGGCTGGAATTTCCTTCCTCCTCTACCTATCTCACAAGTTACTACCCATTGTTTGAGAGTTAGCTTGGTTGGTTTGCATTCTCAGGGTTGCTTGTCTACCTCAAAATAACACCCTCAGGACACAATTGCATCACTGAATATGCTATAGTATTAATAACTCTCCAAAGTGGTTACTATGAACTGTCCAGCCTCCACTGCGTCATGGAAGCCAGCAATATGTCAGCTTTTTTAAAGACAGGAATATAACTTTTGAGCTCCTATAGATCTGGGAGACAGTGCCCTTCCAATGTCCTTCCAAGTGTCCTTCCAAAACGTTAAGGGTCGAAAAATAACTCCTTTGCTAGTCTCAGCATGCCAAATGAAGAAAGCTAATCCCCTCCAAGACGTTTAAGGCAGGTATTCAGAGAAGGTAGGCAACTAGTTCTAATGGTTTATTCTGATTTGTGCAAGTGTCCCCATCTATGTCTTGTCCACTTTTTCCTGTCTTTAATTCTTTCAGTGAGCTCTGTTCTTACTGTACAAAACTATACAGAATAGAACCTCTGATTTGGAACTTTCATCCAAGTCCTTTTACACTACTGCCATTAATCCAGCTTCGGTGGGTTTCTTAGCAACAATGAAAACCTCACTAGCACACATACAGTGTACCCTGGTTTCTTTATATACCATGTGCTTAAGTCGCCCAGTCATGTCCGGCTCTGTGACCCCATGGGCGTAACCCACCATGCTCCTCTGTCCTTGGGATTTTACAGACAAGAATACTGGAGTGGGTTGCCATTTCCTCCTCCAGGGGATCTTCCTGACCCAGGATTCAAACCTGCATCTCCTGTGTCTCCTGCATTGCAGGTGGATTCTTTACCTGCTGAGTCATGGAGGAATCACATCCTTTTGACTAGCATTTTTCATTTTTAAGAAGTGAGAATGATTTTGAAATAAGAGAACTGAATAAACCATATAAATCCTTGATACAGGATAATGTGGAGCTGCTATAAGTGAATAACAGGCATACAACGTGAAAGACATGGGGTTAACAGGAACATTCAGAGACTTCATGTGTGGACTTCCCTGGTGGTCCAGTGGTTAAGAATCCACCTGTCTGCAGGGAACCTGGGTTGGATCCCTGGTCAAGGAAGATCTCACATGCTTTGGAACAGTTAAGCCCTCTGGCCACAACCATTGAGCCCACATGCTGCAACTACTGAAATCCATGCTCCACAACAAGAGAATTCCACAATGAGAAGCACAAGCCCGGCAATGAAGAGTAGCCCCTGCTTGCCACGTGTGGCAACAAAGGCCAAGTGCAACCAAAACTAATGATCTCATGTGAATTTTTTTCAGTAACCAAGTATAAACAGTTTACCAAGATTTTCTTTGAGATTATGTCATGTTAAAAGGATTTAAAAATAGTTATTGATAATTTCATTATGCACTTGGGTGAACAGTGATTTTTTTTTAAACCAACACCAACATGAATCTTTCCCACTCTGCAATGTAGCTATTTAGTAATTTGCTAGGGAGTTGGCTTGGCCAGTATAAATCTTTCTCAATTTAGTTTTCATTTTTAAAGTTTCTAGTGGGACAGCAGCCAAAATGGCTATCATCAAAAAATGCACAATAAATGCTAGAGAGGGTATGGAGAGAAGGGAACCCTCCTACACTGTTGGTGGGAATGTAAATTGGTACAGCCACTATGGAGAATAGTATGGAGGTTCCTTAAAAACTAAGAATAGAGCTGCCATATGACCTTGGCAATCCTGTGCGTGTATCTGGAGAAAAACATCTGAAAGGACTCATGCACCCCAATGTTCATTGCAGCACTGTTTACAATAGCCAGAACATGGACGCAACCTAAATGCCCATCCATAGAGGAACGGATAAAGGAGATGTGGTACACAATGGAATATTACTCAGCCATTAAAAAGAATGAAATAATGCCATCTGCAGCAACATGGATGGACCTAAAGAATATCATAGTGAATTTAAATCAGACAGAGAAAGAGAGATGTAGTATGACATCCCTTATATGTGGAATCTTAAATGATACAGATGAACTTGAAAGAAACAGACTCAGACTTAGAGAATGAACTTATGGTTGCCTTCGGGTGGGGGGAGGGGAAGGATGTGGGGAATGGATAGTTAGGGAGTTTGGGATGGACATGTACACACTGCTATATTTAAAATGGATAGTCAACAAGGACCTACTTATAGCACATGGATCTCTGCTCAGTATTATGTGGCAGCCTGGATGGGAGGGGAGTTTCGGGGAGAATGGATACATGTATATGTATGGATGAGTCCCTTGGCTATTCACTTGAAACTATCACAACATTGTTAATCGGCTATACCCCAATACAAAATAAAAAGTTTAAAAAACAATTGAGTTGCAAGATAAGAGAAAAAGACTTTTAGTGGTAAAAGATACTGATACAAGGACTTTCCTGTTGGTCCAGTGATTAGCAATCTGCCCACCAATGTGAGGACACAGGTTTGATCACTGGTCTAGGGAGATTCCACATACAGAGCAACTAAGCCTCTGAGCCACAACTACTGAACCCACACTCTAGAGCCCAGAAGCTGCAGCTAATGAAGCCCAAGCACCCTAGAGTCAGTCCTCTGCAATAAAAGAAGTAGCTTCAGTGAGAAGCCCTCGCATTGCAACTAGAGGGTAGCCCCTGCTCACCACAACTGGAGAAAGCCCACATGCAGCAACGAAGACCCAGCACAGTCAAAAACAAATTTTAAGATATGGAAACAGTGTCAGACTTTATTTTGGGGGGACTCCAAAATCACTGCAGATGGTGATTGCAGCCATGAAATTAAAAGACGCTTACTCTTTGGACGGAAAGTTATGACCAACCTAGAT